ATTTTAATTGTAAAAAAAAAGTGACTCATTGCTGTTCATTTTCATTTCAATCGCCACGTGATTGGCAACCAATTGTTGCAAGTGTATATAATTATTTACTTGTAATTATTAATCCAAAGCTGCGATAAACAAATTGAATTTACAATTGTAAAAACTAGAGTTGGGCGCTCGTTTTCTACTTTTTCATAATCACTGAATTTTGTTGGTACGAATAACTTCTAAGATCACGTAATAAGAAATAATTTCACTGCATTTTCACCTACTCTGTGTACGAACGCGTAAGTATACCGGCTTACGCTCGCGTGGCGGTAGACAATTAAAAATGAAGTGAATCTGTTGGTAATTCAACATTATAAATTTAACTGTTGTGTTACGCGTACGTATGTGTTATTTCATGCTTCGGTTTGTTGATTCTGTTTAATATTTCATGAGAAAAAGTAGGACGTGCTTACGCTTTGCCAGCCTCGTGTGCAATTATATTACGGAACAACCGCATGCACGTTTCACTCTTTATTTCGCGAAAAATTTTCACATTTCATTTTCTTCTTCTTCTCTCACTTTTGCCCTGACATTTCGTAGAATTTTTTTTTTTCACAAGAGCTGGCTTATTTCTTAAATTATGTGCGACGATGTATTTCGTCGAATCCACCTAATTTCATTTACATTCGAGTACATTTTTTAATGTATATAAATCGCAAAACGATTTACGTTAGTATAAATAGCAAAAAAAAAATAAGGAAGACAAGTACAATTTTTGTGTACACTCGTGTAAAATTTTAAATATCATGGCCTAAATTATGCAAAAAGTTTCTCGTATCTATCACCATAACCAATTATGTATGTGTCCAACGTACGTGCCGTAGGTATGTAAAATCGTAGTAGTGCATGAATTTTAATTTAAGATTGAAAGACTAAAGATAGGGATCAGCATAATAAAGTGAAAGGTCGAATTGATTTTTTTTTTGTTTAAAAGAAGCTTAAGAGGTAACATATATACTTTTTAAAAATGTAATTGTTAAAACTTGAAACTGGGTTAACGTACTATACATAAGTGTTAAATTACTTGTAACACCATGAGAAAGCATCAATGGCCCACAGGGCATAAAAAGCATTTGGTCAAAATTGTGCAATAGCTGCAAGAAAGTGATTTTCGAGCGCCATTTAAGTATAAAGTCTCGTGTATGATTACCGTTATAAGGATGAGTAAAAACAAAAAAGCTTTATTCATTTCAACATATTGCTGTGGCGATATAACTAGTTTGAAAACAAAATTTTTTATTGATCCTGTTATATAATCTAGTGCCTATGTTATCGTAATCAAAAGTTTTGTTTGAAAAAAAATTAATAAAAAAGAGTACATAGCTCTTAAAATCAATAGAAAATCAAGTCCCGTTTTAAGTATAAGCAATCCAATTATAGCCTAGTATTCAATTCAATTTTTAAGTGAGAAATATGACCCATGTATTATTGTTTGTACGATTTAAATTTTTCTACATAACATTACACGCGTATAGAAATTTTTTGTTTGTTTAATTTTGTAACAGTACTCAATACTTATTTTCTGCAGAAGGAAATGTTCTTTATCCGAAAACTGTGTTTTTGTACAAAACAATTTTTTAATATTTTTTTTTAACTTCATGTTGTCATCACTGGTTATAAATCCTTTCATTATGATTTCATATCTTTTATTGCAATTTTCACGTTTTTTTCTTGCTTATCTATTCACACCAATAATAAATTGTACTGTTATCGATTTATTTTCACCGAAAATTTTCAACTCCATCATTTATATATACTCTTGATTTATAGAAACTAATCACTACCTCTTAACAAATAAGTACTTTTTAAAACAATAAATAAAAGACATTATGAAAAAAAAAAAAAAAAAAAATTCAAGGAAAAAGTTATTTCCTGATTTTTTGAATTTGTACGAGTAAAAAAAAATTACTTTGATTAATTTTCAGTTTTATACAAAGACTAGCAAAATAACGAAAAAGTTTTTTGTATTGATTCAAAATAAAGCTGATCTTTTTAAAGCTATTTATACAGATTTTTTACCCTTTACATAAAATTATTGAGTATTTGGATGTAAAGAATTAATTAACATAATTTTTTATTATTTTTGTTTTTTTTTATTATTAAGGTTCTAAAGATTCTAAGGTTACAAATGTTCTAAAGGTGGGAACAGCATGAGTTTAATCGCAAAAGAAGACAATATTTGATCGATTACTTTTTTGTAGTAGACATGTATACATAATATTATACTTTCATAACACACGCATGAAATAAGAAAAATTATACACATACAAACGCGTTTTTCTGGCGTGCAAAATAAAAATACATATTTTCTAAATTTAAACACAATTTTGCTATAATTTTTCAGTCGCAGCACAAACTTTATATATTTTTGTCTTTGAAAATTAATTCTAGTCTTTCTCATTACCTAGACAATTTTTTTTATTCCTTGATTGATTGGTTTTGATTTTGAAAGTTCTTGTTCCATGCAAACTATTACTATTACACGAGATCAAGCGTCATTGCAAAACTGAACATTCACTTTACTTGGGCTCTTATTACTATGCCAAAATTGGTCCCATTACAAATTGTTTTGTCTTGTTTTAAACAAAATTATTTTAAATACAACGTCATACGAGGACAGCTGAAAGCGAACGTTCATTTTGTCTTAACACCACCGAAAAACAGCATAGTGATGATTCATATTTTATCAAATTAAAATTTCTTTTTATTACCAAGTATCTAATTATTAGATTGAAAAAATCACTTAATCCTTGAATTAATGTATTACTATCAATATAAAAATTCTTCGTTGAAGAGAAATCCCACTACTAATTTTTATTAATATCTAATTTTGTTCCATAAAATTGTGACTTAGCAAAGTTTTATTTTTGCCATTTTTAATCAATAATCGTCTTAATCAGCAATAATGTGTAATGATATTGGATATGAGTTAATCAATTTTTTCAATCAATTATTTTATTATGTTATTATAAGGGCTATAATAATAAAACAATTCAAATGCAAACCAATCAATCGTTTCTTTGATTTATACTTTTTATTCCTAATGAACGATTTAAACAATACAGAGTAACAATTCCTGTAAATCACTACGAGAAAACGTACGAGAATTCAGAAAAATGTTTTTTGCCCTTAAATTATTATCAAATGAACACAAGTTCGTGAACACCTTAATACGTACGTATACTTTAAAAAGCCATTTAAACAATTTAAAACGGGCAGTTTGTCAACGGCAGTGACGTGTTGTTACTTATGACAAATTTTTTTTTTTTGGAATAGTTGAATTCATAAAAAAAGAAACATCGTCTTCTTATCGCTAGAGGAAAGTATTTACACTTACAAATATAAATACAGAGTACAATCATGTTAATTAAATCTAAATTCTTCTTATGCGAGAAAATTTCACTGTACAAAAATTCACGTGAGAGAGAAATCTTCTGGCAGTGAAAGACACAAAGGCGACAAATTCAATAATCATTCGATAACCACATCGATATTTAATCATAAAAAAAAAGTTTTTGGCTTATCGTTAACTAAATACAAAAAGAGAGAATGTTCTGGCTAGTATGAGACATGTTTTACGAGAGAGAATTTTCGGTTGTTTACCATTTTTTTTTTAAATTACTTTATCTTCACTTTCTTATACTTGGTATCAACAAAACAAAATAATTTGAATCTGAAAATTTCTAATTTGTCTTGATTTCTTCCCAAAAAATGTTTGCTTAGCATCTAAGCAAAAAATACTTATGACGTAACTTTTTATACGCTGACATTTTATACAATGCCATCCACACACATGTCGGTCACTCAAACAATGTCATTAGAAATTCACATCACTTGATTAATTATTAAAAAAAAAAAAANGTATCAAAGACTTGCCTGTTACGATGCATTGCCAAACAAAGTATGGGTAAAAGTATATGAATTATTTAGAAGAAAAAAAAAAAAAAAAAAAAAAAAAAAGGATTCTATAAAAAAATGAATGTAGCACTGCCGGGTGGCTACCGCTGCGCTACACAAAACCGTATGTAAAAAAAGACACTCAACGCAAATGGGTGTGTGCATATGATTCTCGTCTCCACGCATAATTTACCTACAATATGTACAAAAAGGATATTTATCGATAAACTAAAGAGATCCTATAGCCATTACACGTTTGTTAGGTAGTTAAAACTCTTCGAATATTATTCGAGGATTAATAGCGCTTCGGTATTAATAATAGTCTGCATATCGTGTTTTCACATGTTTTATTTTCTATCCGGTGAATAGTATGGATCATTAAATTTCTACTTAAAATCTAAAAGTATCTAAAAGAACGTTTTATTATTCTTTACTTTATACTTGCTCCTTAAACAATCATTACACATATTGGCAGTGTTTCCTCAGCTGGTGTGTCATTCGAGTTGCTTGCACTCATTGTTTTTCTTACTTATACCTTTTACTACTCGCGTCTTATTTAATCCCTAAGTATTTTATTTAACCTTTGCTTTACTAATATTACAATATAACTTCAACTATACGTAGGTACAACTGTCAGTACCACCTTTGTGATTACGAACGCTCCCTTTCACTCATCAGCTCGATTATTATTCTCTTCACTCTTGTCCATTTATTTTTATTTTTCTTTACAAATACCCTAAGCTCTTATCAGTGTATACACTTGTCAAACTTATATCACATCGCTAATTTACGTCGAACTGGAAACTATTGGCAAAATAACAAATAACGTTTTTTTAATTTATTATATATCAAGCTTGATTTGATCGATTAATGTATAACTAATTATTAGTTGGGAAAAGCCAATTTCACAAGTTCAAATTAAAACAGCTTTTTCTATTTAAAATTCGTTATTTCACTCATAGATTTCGTCAACGTTGACAATCGCTTTTGAATATTCTCGAAAGTGATTGTCGCTAGTTTATCTCGCGAGCATTACATTTTTTTTTCTAGATCGCTTTTGGCAGTTATTTCATAATTTCTATTCACACGTATATTCCATACATGCAACAATTTTCATTATCTTTGCTACCTTTTTTCCTAAGCTTATAAACCTTGTTTTAGTAATACTAGAGCATGGAAAATAGAGATCACAGCCTTCGCATTTCTGACCCATGTGAGGGTAACAGCTCGTAAAGGGCTTTTATACAAAATCAAAATTAATTATTTTGTCAGTACTTGTGCCTTTCATGAGTCTCGTTACGATAAAATACCAGTGTGCACTCTTTTGTTATTTTTCATTTATTACTACTTGTACTACCATCGTTTTGTCAAATTTCAAAATCTAAACTCAGCTCATAGTTCATTATAAGTTAAAATACTCGAACTATTTGAAATAATTATTATTTACTGAAAAATCAAGTTTTAAAAAAAGTGCATCCTAGTGTTAAAATCAAGTCTCAGAATGAAAAAAGCAATGAAGATGATAAAATACTCAAGCAAGAAATCTGTATTGGAACTATGAATTTTTTTTCATAAATAAATGCATAAATTAGGTTTCTTTGATAATTTGTACATTCTACTATCCCTCTAAAAATATTTAACAGAGGGGGAATTATTGTTTTTTTTTCTTTTACTTCCCGATGTGTAACGATTAAATTGATCTTTTATCACCCAGCTTTCAAATTTCACGGAGACTATATGTTTCTAAATATTTTTGTAAGTAATTCACTTAGAATTTATTGTTAAGCTATCTTTTGTAACACTATAAAAACTTGGAAAAAAATATACATGTATTCATGTATACGAATATTTAATGTAAAATATTTAGAAAACTATTATTGAGACTGATAACCTCAGTTAGGAAAAAAATAACGCATAGCTTCAAGAATTCGTATTTTCTAGCTTTTGTATATTTGAACACGTCTTTGAAAACCAAATTAGTTTACTTTCGGTGGAACGCTTTCAAGCTGCTTACACAGAAGCATTAGATTAAGATTGTTAGATTTAAAGATTTTAATATTATTCCTCCTTGTTCCTACCGATCGAAGAGGCCAACTGAACATTGGCATTCCCTAAAGAGGTTGAAGTGTCTTGATACTTTGAGAAACTTTCCTCTCTTCTTTGCGTCTTCTATTGAATTAATACTTTGCAACTGTCCAAAATAGTGTGAATCCGAAGGATCGATGTCAGAATCGATTGAGTCCTTAAGGCCACCAGAGTGATTGATTATTTTTATCTGTTTATTATTATTATTCTTTTTTTTTACAACGAGCTTTATTTGACAAATGAGCACTTCTCCCTCTTTTTTTTTTTTTTTTATCTTTTCAAACAAGTCTTTTCCTCGTGGTTTTAAGTTTAATTTTAGTTTCTTTTTAAATTTCGCTTAAAGATTCGCTAAAACGCTGATGAGGCACTTTTGTGGCTCTCCCAGGATCATCAAACTCTTTGAGGCTCCGAGAATCCGCAACTTTTTTCTTTGTTAATTGTTAACTTTAGGCTGGACTTTAAAAAGTATATATAATATAGTACCATCGATTTATCGTATCGAAACTTGATTTAATTTTGTTCTCGTCAGTTCTTCATTTCTTGAGCTAGTTTGAGCTTTTGTGATATCTCATTCTTCCTTTAATCTGTTATTATTTCTAATGCTAAAATATACACATTATATAAATATGCTTCATTCGTTAAGAAGTTCTCCAAGTCTGGATATTACTTATTTCGTGACGCGTATAAAATCTCGTCACGCAGTCAATCGGTTTGTTTTTCCGTTTGCACGATCGTCATAGACTAGACAACAACGGCGGTACTTTATTACTAATTAATTCCTGGAATTTAAAATCATCCGTTAATACGATTGTCAAACATTTTATAAAACTAAATTTTCATCTATTTATACGAACCAGATTACATGGTTGACGCTGTTTCTCTGTCATCACGTGATCTTCACTGGCTTCACTGGCTTTCGGCGCTGCTTCACATGTTTTTCCATGTCCTTGTTATCGAATATCGCGGGGTACAATATGTTGTGGAGTCCTTCCGGATTTTCATTCGCTATCTTGCGTATTTTTACGTGCTTTGTTGTAGAAATTTTCGCATCCAATACCCACTCGTCTGGTTCTCTGTCAAATAAAAAAAAAAAAAAAACAAAAAAAAAATAGATTTAAAGAACAGAAATAAATCGGACTTTGTGTAAATTTCGAACAAATAGAGATGAATCTAAAAAAAGGTTCTCGCCTTGTATACCACAAAGAATAATAAAAAAACTGAGTGTATCTTCATTGAACGAAGAAATATTAAGAAAATAAGGTAATCCCTTCCCACAGTCCCTTTTAATTGTCCCTAAATGGGGACTGAAAATATTACAGAGACACAGGTTGCCAAGTATAAAAGGGTGTTAACTGAACTGACTCTAGGCTAGGCAAATGAATACAAAAAAAGGTTAAAAACCGTTAGAAAATGATGTTGTGCGAAAACTTACATATTTCTTGGATACCATCGCAGCAGCATTTCGACCGTACCATCTGTTAATGTTCTTTTTCCAACCACCTAAAAACGATTGAAATAATAAAAAAATGTGTCAATTGACAAATAAATTAATTATGTAACTTACTTGACTAGTTAAGGTCATTGAATCTCCAGGTGTCGTATCCAAAAAACCTTGCGTCCTTGTCATTTCAATGTTTTCCAGCTTTTGATTCAACTTCTGCATTGTTCCCGAATCGAAGTAGTCGACATTTCGTGCTGCAAGTCAAAAAGGTTGTTTAAAAAAACAGTTGGATTCACTTAAATCGTCAAGTATCCTAACATTATTGCTTATTTCAATACGTACCGGAGTACGGCTGTTTTCTATATCTCAACTTCTTTCCGTTCCTCTTGATTAGTTTGCCACTGGTTTCCGAGCTCTTCCTCGACGTTGACTCTTTATTGCTTTCGGTTTGATTCAAGTGACTATTCACGTGCCTTTCGAGCGCAGTCTGCAAAGATACAAAAATTTTCAGTAAAAGCAAACGGACACTTTCCAGCGAATGTTCTAAACGGACCTATCGTTGTAAGTATAAACAAGGAATGAAAATAAGCTAATGTAAATTTTATCGATTAAGAGACATGTGTAAATTATCTTAGAGATCCTGAGTTCATATTTACATTTTTTCTTCCACGTAATTGTACTGTAGAACTTGTACGCCCATGTTTCGTACCACGAGGCATGATACAGAAAATTTTTAAATCTTGAATTTATTTTGATTCGTCCAGATAGAAGCCGATTACGTTTCGTCAACTAATGTAATTTTATGATTCACTGGAAAGTGCCCGACGATACACTGAGAGACACCATTTCGGTGCGTTTGAAATGTTAATTGGATTCGAAAAAATAATGCATGTGCCATTTATTGGATACAATCCATGTCGACAATAGAATTTTTAAAATTGATCACCAATCAAAGTCAAATATGATAAAAATCTGCAGATGCAGAATAACGTAAAAAAATAACTTGTCGAAATCGAAGAAAATGATAGACCGAGAAATTAATACTGTGGAAACGTGATGAGTTACTGTGTTTACGACCAATAGCCTTTCCCTACTGTCGTATCTTCTTTGTTGACAACATATACGTTACCCCATGATCAGGAGAACGAGAATGTATGAGTTTTAGGAAAGCAGTTCTAACACGCAAGATTGATAATATCCAAACAGGCATAGTCCATTGCTCGTTGACGTTCGTGAATAAGGTAGTTAGTGTTTACATTTGATACATTACATATACATATTTTTGAAAGTATTTTTTTTTTTTCCATTGTATTTCAAAAAGCGAATTCATCTTTTTATGAAAAACAATTAATGCACCTCTACTTATACAGTGTAAAGTGCATTTTAATCGAAAAATTAAATATTTTATTATACGTGAATAATCTCATTTATCTAATTTTATTATTAAACGTTTGTAGGAAACCAAAGTTAAGAACATTTTTAAAAAATGATAAATTGAAATTGTTATATTGTGAAAAATGACAAACTCCAATCGTTATGCAACAAAAAAATTTAAGTTAAAAATTAATATTAATTCATTCAACCTCTTTTGAACATATTTACGAGGTCCAGTTGATCTTGACATGATTTTAGGAAAAATTAATAAAACAGCAAAACATCATTGAAATAGAGCCGAGAACGTTTTTGCCCCCAGATAAACAGATATACTAATTCGTAGGATTTAAGTTGGGTGGATAATTCAAAGGTGAAACAATACTAATGGAAAAGTCGTGTGACCCAAAATATACATCGCATTCTTCAATCTCCGCAACTTCTCGCAACCGTACGCACATTTAAATAAATCGTTAACCCCGACAATCGTCAAAGTAAAATACAAATTTAACGTGTGGAACTACAGTGGCGAGGCCAAAAGCTACAGAGATCAAACGAAGCGCGGAGCTTTCGCCAAAACCCACCAGCAAGTCCTCCGACGTGCCTTACTCCAAAAAAAAAAAAAAAAAAAAAAACAACAACAAAAAAAAATGACGCATTACCTGGGAGCTAAATCGAAACCCGCAGCTGTCGAAGATGCACGGGTGAGGTTTGTTGCCGCCGTGAGACAGCACGTGGCGCTCGAGCCATCGCCTCGAGCACGAAGTCTTCCCTTGGACCTTGCATCCTTGCCAATGGCAAACGAAGTTATCGTGACTCGTTTGCGTGTTTATATGCGCCGTCTGACCAAAAACATTCATTTATAATTAGTCAAGCATTGACCATTGGATTAACAAACAGAGCTTACCTGTAAATGTTCGAGGAGGGCGCCGCAGGTGTCCAAGTTGGTTTCGCACTTCTCCCAACGGCAGAATCCGGTGTCGGTGCTCTGGCTCCTCTTCTTGCCGGGCTCCTTCACGGGGAACCTTATCGTCTTGGGGGTCGACAGTATCGGCGAGACGAACGCCGACTTCGACTCGGCGCTGTCCCTCGACGTCTCCTCGTCCTCGTCCTTGGCCGAATCGCTCGGTGTCGCCGGCGAGCCACGCAAACTGAACAGCGAGCCCATTTCCTCGCCTCTGCCGCTCGACGTCACGTTGTTGTTCTCGTTCACGTGGACTGGCTTCGGGGAATGCAACGTCGCCTACACAATCACGGACGAAAGCATCGAACCATTAGTTAACAGATAAAAAATAAACATCAAGTTGGCGGTGACAATACGATCCTACCAGTAGTACTTTGAACCCTGTGGATTGGTCGCCGTCCAAACTCGTGGGGGAGTCGGGACCACTGGGTAGTGGCGAATCGCTGGGACTCGCTTCGGAAGTGAGCCTCAGATTGGAGATCTTGCAAGATGGCAGGGTCGAGAGCATTTCGCTCGGTAATGGCAGTAGGGGCAGTCCCGGGTTTTTCATCGTCGTCGTCGTTTTACAATTACTCTTGTCCTGATGAACCACTGCTGTTGCTGCTACTACTGTGGACTTTTTGTCCAGTTTGCCAATCGTCCTGGGCTGCGATTTGTTGTGCTTGAAGGAGTGGGTCTCCCAATCGGCAGTGGCCGTGCGGTTGCCGTTGCCCAAGTAGTACTTGGCGAGGCCCATCTTACCGTTGCGCTGTACGGTCGCTGGTCTACGGAACTCCGAGGTCTTGGCCACCATGACCGTAGCCTCGGTCAATTGATGTTTCTTCGCCTGAAAAGTGTTTTTGGGTGATACCTTATTCTCACTAGAGAGTCAATGGCAATGAGTAGTAGCGAGGGTGGGGGGGCGAACCTTGGATTGCTGGGGCTTGATCTGGGCCTTGAAGTACTCGGTGATCTTGCCCTGACTGTCCTGCTGCTGTTGGGGGATCTTGTTGGTGGGGGTTTGGTGGTGCTGGGGCGTCGGGGTTTTTGTGTGCTGCTGTCCAGTCTGCCTGGGAAGGCAGCCGTGCTCGGGCTCAGCCTTGAGCCTCTTGTAGCCGTTGGAGCAGGGGGCGAGCGCCAACGGTGGGACCCATGGCCACTGGGGCCTCGTGGACGGCTGTTGCTGTGTCGGCGCCAGCTTGCTCGCAAGGTTGGTGCCACCGCTCGGGGCAGCGGTGGTCTCGCCGGGGCGCGTCGAGCTCTCGTCCCGGGTGGGGCTGCTGCGCGAGCCGGTGCCCAGGTCGCCGAGACCCTCGTCGCTGCTCACGCTGGTGCACGGCGAGCCCGGCTCGGTTATGTCGCTGCCCGAGCTGCTCGCGCTCAAGCTGACCCCGCTGCTGCTGTCGCTGCACGACACCGCCACGCCGCTGTGATTTCAAACAAGCATTGCAAGGCTCGCATTAGCATCTCGCACTTACATGGTGTACCAAGTGTGCTCGCGAGGGTGACATTTCATAGTTTTTTTTTTTACACGATGCACATTTTTTGTCTTGTCGATATGTGGGAGGTTTTAAAACAACCAAACCAATCATGCCGGACCACGCGTTAATTTTTTCATTTCGAAATTACTGTGGTCAATGACACGCCGATTTGGTTGTTTAAAAACTACGTGTGGAAATTCGAACGTATAGCACACTTGACTTTGCAATTGTGTTTACTCTATAAGGTATATATTGCGGGGCGCAAAGGGATTAAACGTGGACTCCTCGGTTGTGTTGATGATTTTTTAATTACTGCCAGTTGGACGTGAATTTGGTCTCGACTGATTTTTGGAATATCACGCTTTTTCGTACAGTACCGTTATTAAAATGTAATTATTGCAATGACGTGATGTCATCGGACATGTACAAGAAAGTATATCGGGGTTTTGGGCAAATAAGACGCGAAAATTAGATGGCAAGTAGAAGGTCGTCGTCGCGAATTGGTAATTTCTGGCCCTGTAATTAGGTTTTCAGCGGCGGTCATGCCATTACTAGCTAAACATGCAATTTCCCGCTTCAACTTGGTTCCCGTGCATTCGGCCTCTCGAGGCATCCCGGGGGTGTTATGAAATTGGACGAGCTGCCGCGCGCAACTGCTACGTACAGTTGTTTTTTTTCTCTCCCTTTTTCTCCAAGTCGTTACGAAGGGAGTGTAAAAAGTTTCAATTTGGCATGAAAAAAAAAAAAAAAAAAATACAGCTCCGTGAGAGTTTTAAAGCCAGTATATTACGGTCAAAGTTAGATTGCGATAAAACCGTCGTGGAAAAATGATTGATCGCAATCTTTTTTAGTCAATCTCCGGTAGAAGGACTAAAAGGACTAAGGGGATGGAATAGAGGGAAAAAATTCATTTCATTCTTCCGAGAAGAGAGTCGATAACTTTTACGGCTACAAAACTTTTCCCATATCGAAAGTACCTTCCAACAGCCATTCGCTCCTTATCTGCATCCACCCTAACTCTATTCCGAATCTAACGAGTGTCAAAGAAAAAAAAAAATCTCCCTCCCAATGGAGTGATACAGTGAAACATCCTTTTTAGTCCTACAGTCAATGCAGTTGTATTAACGCAATCGTACAGATATAAATCAATGATTTACCCAAGTATACACGACAAAGATATTTTACTGGTGTAATTTGTGTCAAAAAGTTTAAAGTATAGCATTCCTACCAAGTACTAAGCTTGAAAGATAAAAAAAATAAAAAATAAAAAATTACAAGATGAACACTACTTAACTATTAACGAAACCCGTACGTACAAAAATGTTTCGAATTAATCAAAGTAAAGCCCAAAACTTGTTAAACTTTTTGACACAAGCTGTGCAGCCTAAAGAGGAACCTAAAATGAATACCAAAGCCGCATAAAATTCCACGCGCGCGTATAGTTAAAGTAACCCCGAGGCCCAAGTAAAGTTGAAAGATTCTCAATTTCAGCGAAAGACACACACACACACACACCAGGGAATGGCGTTGTAAGGCCGGCGAACCCGATAGGTGGCTCCGTCACGCGCTCGTGCACCAAAGCAACGTTCCGATGCACCGCACCACCTCCACCTTTTACTCGTATGTACATGTATATATATATATATATATACACCACCACATACCGGTAACTAGCCTCTCACAGGCCGTTGGACACGGTTTAACATCGGAACGTTCTCCTCCTCGACTCTGCTTTGAACTTTCCCTCTCTGGTGCACAATATCTATCCAGCTCTTGCGCGCCAAGGTGCCTTTTTCATGCCTCTATTTCTCGTGCGGCAACCACACAACCATTAAATCATTGAACCAGTAGTTGGATGCACTTTTTTTTCTCTCTGTCTTCGCCAGCGGACATCCCCTCGCTACGGGCATTAGGATGAGCGAAACAAAAAAGCACCATCCTTCCTTTTTTCCCCAAACTTTTGATCACATTGTTTTTTTCTTCCACAAAGTACTAAATATTGCGTAGGTTGGTACACACACAAAAACACATGACTGACCGCTCGCGCTTCCTAATCTCCGGGACAAATCCTTCCGCTCCTTCTCCTCCGGCAGAAATCTCGGTAATCTCCTTTACATTATTAACGCTTATCCCCCTTTCCGTTCCTGTTTTTTTTTTTTTTTTTTTTCCTCTGACGCATGCTCGGGTTTCTTCGCGACGCATAATGTATTATACAGCAGCCCCTCCCTTTTTTTTATCTCTCTCCACTCCCGACGACCAAGAGAGGGTTCTCTACTTGCACCCTCCCGTCCTCGATTCCTTTGCCATTTAAGCTCGTCTCTCCTTTGTTGGCCACCTATGTCTTGTATGTATATGCAACATTGGCTCCTCTCCTTCAGACGCCAATCGTTATACGCCAACATCTGTCATTTGTGATCGTCTTATTGGCTTTTCCCGTAAACACGAAACGTTTGATTTCCCCTTCTTAGTCCACGACTCTGGTGCCGCGCCAAAGTGATCGCCAACGCGCGTATAAAACCTTGGAAAAGGGGCTGGAGTCCGGGAAAATTTCTACGGCCAACTTGTACAGGTATAATGCACATAATATACGCAGAAGCAAAGCCGCGAACGAGCACACGCGCCGAGGCTATTAATACCCACAGTGTATATACGCCAGCAAAGCGGTGTCCACTTCAATTTCTCTAATGCGCGTCATCTACAAGGAAGTGCAAGCGCCCCCGTATAATATATATATATACATATCGTAGCGTGTAGGTGCCTAAATACCTCGCAGCTGGGTTGTGTTTCCCGGTGGAAAGACCGAGTGCGGATAAGGCATGACTATTTGTTAAAATGGTACACGACGGTCTCCTACTCGGCTCTTCATTTTTTTTATTTCTTCGCGGCGATGCACCGATGCATCACTTTGGGATTCCTCGGATGTATACAGCTCGTTACTGCAGAGCACGGGTGTTGACGTTCGCAAGAGGTGACTCAAGAAAAATCTTGGCTCGTTTGCCGACTAGTCGGTGCTCTTGTTGTATAGCTATTAAGATCACCGCCGTGGCTCTCGGGAAGTGCTGCCGACGTTAATTCGAACGCACGGGAGATGCGCGAGATTCATCATCAGATTGTCACATTTTTTTTAATTTAAAACTAATTTTTTCAGAAAAAGACCTCGTCATGCTTCCTAACTGATGGTTTTATTTCTACATCATAGACACGGGGGTGAAATTCGATATTTTGCACTTTGACAGCTGGCATCGCCAAGTTGAATGATCTCCCGATACATTTTTTAAGCAAAACCCAAGGTAAAAAAAAAAAAAAAAAAAAAAAATATTAAGCATGAAGTTGAAAACTCGAGTATAAGTAGGTGTACTTGCAAAAAGGGAAAAATAACTGCGGATGCGGTGTAGAGGCGGACCGACGATCGAATCAAAAGTTTGTGCGCGCAGGAAGGAAGAGCCAATTTCGAGCTCGTGCACACGAAGAGAAGGAAACAAAGTTCATTAAGGATCGCTGTTGTGGCTTCTGCTCTTCAGTCTTCTCTTATTCGCATGTATATTATATATATGCGTATAGGTACGAGAAACACACGCGCAAGCTATAGGTGAAATCGGAGCATGAAAGGAAGGTTCGTGTGTTGTCTTCTTTCCAGAGAAGGAAGAAGAGAGAGATACGTACGATATAAAAAAGAAAGAAGAATGAGGTCAACGAGACAGATGTTTTTTGAGCCGAGTTTAATAACTGTTGCGCATTTCCTGTGATCGAGACAAAAGCCGTGGATTTTCGACAACAAAGACTCCGTACGCGTACTCCTTACTCGCCGGGCTCTCTTTGAAACTACTTACCATCGAAGAGCAAACAAGAGGTAGACGATACATCCAACCGCTGTATCAATTAGTCTCCCAAGAGAGAAAGAGGCACGAAAAAAGAAGAAGAGGAAAAGGTGAACGCTCGGCGAAAGAAAAACAAAAACTCCGACGGCACCCACTACACGCATGAAGTGGTGTATGCAATACACAGTACACGCGACAACCACCGCGAGCATCGAACGTGTGTAACTGACCTACAGTCGTCGGTGTCTCTTATCTCGACATGCTCGTGTCGCCAGAGAATCGATCGACTCATCCAGACACCCCTTGTGCACGTCGACCGCGTAATTGTTTCAGTATACTGTTGCATTTCAATTACGACGGGCAGATTGTTGAGGAAAAAAAAAAATAGGTTTTAGAGATGAATCATCGAGTGATTGAAGAAATAGAAGAAAATCAATAAAACACGGGAGCCAACGGTGGTAGGTAGTCGAGCGGAATGACGATCACTTGACAAGCGTCCCCAACGATCCCGAAACACGCACGCACTACACACGTGGAATCCAAATGCGCATCGGAGCGCCGCGGAGGAACGATTGTTTTCTCATCTGTTAACGGACCAGCGAGCAGAGCCAACAGCGGGTATATACACACCGGCCGATAGAGTCACAGCCAGCTCGGAAGATTGGACAGAGATTGACGAGGGCCACCGTAAACACACACACACGTATATTATAGACTCCGCGAGAAACGACCGAGTCAGTGTAGGGCGGGAGGGAGGGAAAAAAAGGGGCTCGCCTCTGCAGTAGTCCCTATCATATCCAGAGGGAAATTCCAACGAGCCCTCCCTCCCCTGAGATGGTCCGCTGGAAATGATCCTAAAGTCCTTCCTTCGAGGAGGCGCAGCCTCCTCCTCCTCCTCGGACTTATCATATGATGTACGTCCTCTTTGCTATACGTATACGAGATTAAGGCATTCCTCGTGAAATTTAATGCGTTTTGGATCCTTTTCCTTCCCATTCCAAGCGATCGTCGAGGGTATGATCTCAAAAGAGAAAAATGGAGGTGGTACGTGGACCCTCTCGCGAGATATACACAATGCGAGCGAAGCGGTTCAGGGCGGGGCATCGGTGAAAATATAAAATCGGATGTTCAAAATCGCGTGGCAAATCATTCGAGGATCGTAAAAACGGCCGCTGCACGTTGTACAGGTATACCGCCTTAAGCGGCTTGTATATTGCCGCGTGGAGAACTTCCTCCCTTCCAAGCGCCTCGGACCCGTTCAACGGAGCCTTGATTAGGGTCTAATTAGGGGGGGGGGGGCCCGGTTATTCTCGTTTTGCCAAAGTTTTTTTTTTTTTTTTTTTTGTTAGCACTGCACCGATACAAAAGCAGCGATGGCAGTACACTGTACATAGCGACGATGTCCTTAATGAGCTCGCGTATCCCCGTTTCTTTGTCTACATTTACGTGGAGCATTACAAGTATTTCGCGTGATGTTTGAACTATATTGTACATTGTGTCGTCGTCGTGGTTTTATTTGCTATAAAATCCACTTTAAAAAGAAAAGTAGTCTCAATTGTCCAGCTTTCGAGAGAAATGGCCACTCTTTTACTTTGGCGAACGATCGAGTCCCTCGTTCCTCGGGTGTGTACCTATTACGTAGATGATATATATAGGTGGTACTCATATCGCTCCCTTCTTCTGTCCACTCTGCCCTCGCTCCCTTTCTCCGTTCGTTCATTATTTCCTGTTTGACCAATAGCGTATATAACGTATACGGGACCCTTTTTTCCGTACATACGTCCTCGTTTTCACGAGCCCGCCCTCGGCCCTCCCTGTGTGTTGTTGTTTGCTCGAGGCAGCGAGGCACACGCTGTTAATACACCGGATGCGAGAGCAAATCTTATATACCTCCCTGTATCCATCACCGGTAGCATGTACACCTTTGTGCCTTTTTATCCCGGCATTTTTTCCTACTTGATTCTCGTTGGCAACCTCATTGGTGTTGGTGCGTTTTCACCCCCCACATTACTATATATAAAAGAGTCGACTATAAAATTGTATTGTCTCTCCAGCGATGACCAAACTCAGTACATCTGGTCGACTGGGATTTGTTTCATCGATCAGCATCCAACGAAAACACCAGCGTCACACTCATCGAAGCCATTACGACTGATATATTTCTCAGTCGCAATCTCCGCAAAATAACACCTGTTTACTCTCCCCTTATCGCGAGTAAACACATGTAGCAGGACAACCCGGAGCGCGTGATCATATGGATCTTCACGTACATGTATAAATCAAAAATATAAAGAAGCCAAAAGGAGGACTCGGGACGGTATATACATGTAGGCGTATAGGTAATACACCGGAGCTTGCAGGGCGCGAGAGTAAATAAAATGGTGCTCAAGCGACGGAGAAGAAGGAGGAGAATCGAGGGTCCTGCCAATCAGTCATATATACGGTATACTTCTCGAAGAGGGAAGTTGCGCAGGCTCCCTTCGTCTTTCTTTCTTTCCTTCCTTTTTTCCCCTTTATAGCTTATTTCGAGACTATACAGTCGTCCCCCAGCGGAGGCGAGGAAGCGCTAGGTAGGCATCACCATCCCCTCGGGGGTCACCGCTGCGCGTAGGATCGGATTAGACTTTGTCGCGGAGGAGAAAAATGAACGTGCAGGCTCTCACTCTCTATACTGTATTTTTCTTTCCTCCGTATATATAATGGGAGTCAGGCTATATATATATATATATATATATATTTCACGCGTCGTTTCATTTGAGCCCCGGACAGATGCGACGGCTCGTTTTGAATTACGAGGTGGGCCCACGTTTTTTTCCGAAATGTTTCAACCTCGAGTTGATAAAACTATATACTTTGTTGGAGCTTCGATCCTGCGGCTCGATTAAAAAACATCCAAATGATTAACAGCCCACCCCCTTCCATGTAAACTAATGTGGGCTCACTAAATTTCGGCCACATCGCCTATTACCGAAAACTCGGCGAGCTATATCTTTATCTCCCGACATGTTTATTCGTTTTCCCTTCCCGTGCACATACACGCTCAAAGGGCAGTTATGCCATACCCACGCACGCACACGTGTACAGAGTACATCTGGGCGCAGCCCCTCGAGAGATTTTACGTTCGTCTACTCCTCGAGCGTGAGGGGCAGCAGTAGCTATGTATACACGTATACACAATAGTGGCCTCTCCCGTAACAACCCCACGCACGATTTCATTGACATTGTACGAGCACCGTGTAGTTAGGGGTAGTGTATATGTGCGCATATAATATAATACATGACGGTCGCGGTGTGGCGAGGGTATATAGGAGAATCAAGAAGGTCGAGAGAGAGAGAGAGAGAGAGAGTTTCCTTGCGGTAACGAGCGATGTTAAGAGACTCGGCGACACCGAAGCCGACGAGGAGGGATACAGGAAGAAGAAGAAGGGGATCGGACGTACCTATATATAAGTTCCTGCGGCTCGAGCAGGTGGAAAAGGCACCGTTGCGCAAGTGGTGAGGTGGGACATTATTGGAGATTACGTTGGTTTCGATTGACGCGCTTAAAGTTATGCACATTATGTATACCCACCGGGGGGACGTTTCATTGAGATTAGGATGCTTCATGTAATATAATAGTACACACACTCAAGCGTTTCGGATGCGGGTAAATGATGCGCATGGATAATGTATTACGTGTACGAAATTTTGTCCATGGCAGAAGTAAAAAATCAAAGGGCATACGTTACTGTTTTTGCGTATAAATGTTAAAAACATTTTTTGTTTTGTTTTTTCTTTCTTTCTTTTATGATCGGAAGTGTCTATGTGGTCGATTGTTTTCGAAGAGACAAAGCTTACCTGAAACAGAAAGAGAAACAGCATGTTAATTTCAATGCATACACATTCATTTCACATAAAGTAGAAAATAATCATCATAAAATTGCATAAAATTAAATGAAAAGTCAACAAGAAAAAACAAAAATTAATAAAATAGAAGTGCAGCCCTCAACTGGTGGACTCCACGAATCCTGCAAAACGTCACTGCTCTTAATTTACGTGCAATGCTGGCGATGCCCAACGTTACAATCAGAGTAAAATACTCGCCCTGTGGATGGCTAAAAAATTGCACGAGTCCCTCGCGAAACAACATCCGCGCACAGAAAGAGAAAGAGCAGCGTAGACGCGTTTACGTAACGCGTATATATATGGTTGGCGCGCTGTCCTAAACATAGGGACTCGGCCGTCTGTGCGTTTAGATTCTCTCGGCCTATTTATAAGCTTCGCCGACAGAAAGAGAATGTGGAGGAAAAGGGAGGAGGGCGTCCTAAAGTAAACGTCAAAATGGCCCCGGCTCTCTTACGTCTCTCTCTCTCCTTCTCTCTTTTTCGGAATGGCGTAATGGCGCGTAGACACGATGTCGTCGTCGTATATATAGTTGGGAGGACTTCCTTGTGCGCTAGAATTAATTAAACGTAATGAGCGAGGCTTACGGGAGTAGGTTTCTTAGGCTGCAGGGTCCCTTTTCTGTGTTAAACTACTGTGACGCGCTTTAAGGGAATCGTTACGCAAGCGGGTCGTTTATAGTTATATCGCTTTGAAATGCCCTGAGAAAACAGATCGGATGCTTTGAATATTAATTCATGCCCTCGATTGTGCTTTCTTTTTCAGGTATTTGTTTGGTAAAGAGCTCGATGTGTTTCAACGCAGAGCCCTTTTTTATTTACATGTTTATCAGCTTTTTCCATTGTGATTGACACACTGGTAAGTATTTAATTATATAACTCACCAAATTTTTACATATCGTGATCTTTGACACAGCAGCTTAGGGTGGGTAATTAAAAACTGCTTAATGTCCAAACTTGGGCCCGATTACTTTATAAATTTTTAAACTTAGAAAACAATATTTTTTCATTAGGTTACATCCATTCTTTTTGTTGAAATAGTTTTTGTGATCAACGTGTTGTAAGTATTGTAGTTAAAAAATAATTTTTTAGCACATAAATAATGCATTACACTTTTAGCAAAAAATTGGTAAAGTATCCGTGCCCAAGTCAATACCGAAAGAAAAATTCAAAGTCTGTGTTAAGTTAAATTTATATTAAGGTATAAAACAAGAAATCCAATTATTGCTGCAGTAATTAATTTAATTATTAAGTAACTCATCTGTATGTAGAGTTGAAAAATTAAAATTTTCGGTACAACGGAAAACGAAAAAAAAAAAAAAAATATCCCATCGTGAAGTTAAAATACACGCACGATAGAAAACTCGACGAAACAACGACCACTCGTCCTGTACTCAAAAATTGAACTGTCACTAGCAGACGCGATCGCGATTTGTCATTCGACGTCCCTCATACAAACTCCCATATGGCCCTTTCTATTCCGTAAAATCACGAAATTGCCAGGAAAAACCTCATGGGAGCAGAACGTATACGCAATTTTCGATTCCTCGTCCGTGGACAGGACGCGACAAATCGATTTTGATCGACGCCACACGTCCACTACTTATATCACAATTTATCGGCTTTCAGCGAGTTATGCAAAAAAACAATGTAGATTGAAAATATTCGCGTCGAACCCAAAAAAAAAAAAAAAAAAAAAAAAAATACACGTACGGGCACTTTGGTCTCGTCTCGAAAAAACTCGACACAACCGGCCCGCGAGTCCCCTTCCTGAAAGCCTAACCTTGTCGAAAACGCCGTTGNTACTGTTGGGGATAAAAAAAAAAAAAAAAAAAATACACGTACGGGCACTTTGGTCTCGTCTCGAAAAAACTCGACACAACCGGCCCGCGAGTCCCCTTCCTGAAAGCCTAACCTTGTCGAAAACGCCGTTGAGAACGAGTTTGCCAGAAAAACGGGTATACCATCCCTCCCTCTTTGGGTAGCGACACGCTCGCCCCCTCCTTTGCCATTTCTATCATTGTTACATTCATATATACCTACTCTCCGTAAGTGTCGCTTACATTTTGCGCGTTTAAACTGACGTGCGAGAGGTGACTTACTTGTGGGAAAATAAGGTGGATTGAATTTCCAACAGCTACGCGGTTTTGCTCTTTGATCGGTGAATAATTTTTCCCATTGCAAATTGGCTGAAGCCAAGTACCTTCATACCACTCGACCACGCGATTCACATTACAATACACGAGACATGGCACGCGCGAGAGAGAGAGAGACCGGTATTTCACCGAAAAATGTTACCACGCGCATATTTTTCTGCCTCCCCATCTCGTCGAGGTTGTTGTCACCGCGTGGCGTCTAAATGTATATATAAATACATACACAGAAGCGCCAGCGGAATTTATTGATTAAACGGGAATCGTAAAAGCCACGGGAGCCTCTCCCTTTCCCCGCTGCCGAGACTCCGCGCAAAGGGTCTCCCCGCCTCTCTTTGACGGTATACTTGTGCCCTGACGAAAAATCCGATCGTCCGTGGCCGCGCCAATGCAATGGACGCGTGTCGCACGCGAGCGATAACCGTATAAATCTAGCTTATGATCGAGTAACCCATGCACGTGTTTTTACTGCAAAATTCGATTGGCAAGGGACTTGACGTGCGCTTTGACCGGTGCTCTGATCGCTGCATGACTTTGTTACAGTCCCTAACGAATTCAAACTTGTCCCTCCGTACCAGTTTTGCAATTGAATTACCTTTTTTTTCAATCACGGATAATTGAACTTGGTTTATGCACAAATAACCCTTGATGTAGTAAATAAAAGCTTACAACGAAACAAAAAGGCCGTTAAACCACGTACTTGGTACGTAGAATAATTACTTTAGATTCACGCTCGGCCACCCGAAACTCTAATCAGCCCAAATAAATTTAAAAAACGATTGCTACATCGGAAGGAGACTTCCGTAAAGTATCAAAAACGCCATCGCGCTTAATCGCGTGATTTATCGTGAGGATTTTCTACTGCATGCACATGCGAGGTGGATCGATGTACCTTCCCCCGCCTCAAGTCGTTTTCGGGAATCGCCGTGTAGACTCTATATACAGTGTCCGTTCATATGCTAACGCGCGTGCTGGGGTGTAAAAAATGAAAAGACAAAAAGAAAAGGGGGGGAGAGAGAGAAATTTCGACGTCGAGCTTTTGAATACAAATGAGGAAGCGCGAGTGGGAGGGGGGGGGGGTAGGTAACGGCGCTCCCGAAGTTTTTAAACCCGGCCAACTTCCAAATCGTCTTCTCTTCTTTCTTTTCTTACAACCTCTCTCTCTCTCTCTCTCGTCTTCGCGTACAAAAGAATATTCTCATCGCATTTAATTACGACTAATTGTCTTTTCGTAAGCTTTTCATCTCTCGGGGAAAAAAAGCTCTCTCATCCAATGTGCTACGAATAGAGGAAGTAAAACACCCACCACTCGAGTTCGCATAAACTACGTCGCGGATGAGTATATATATTATAAGGTTGCGATGGCGTTGCACCGCGTGGCTCGTATATAAAAGTTTCATCGGGCAAATACGACCTTATACCCCCTACCCCCGCAACAGTGCTGTATACTCCAGAGGCACGCGATGTGCACACCCTTTCGCGCCCCTACTCCTTTCGAATATATACATACAATATATTCTCTGGCTTATGTTAATGGGGCTTTTGTGCGATATATTTATTACACGAGAGAGAGGGTCGGGGATCAAGTGTTTCGGACCCTCCGAAGCGGAAAAATTCCGTCCGTCGATATTGTAATTTCAAGAGCTTTTTAATCACGGAATACCGACGCAGGGAGCAGCTGACGGTCGCCCGAGTGTTGGGCTGATCTTATCGCGTCTGATTTTGGGATCCCGAGAATATAATATATAATATCGTATACGAATGTAAAGGGGAGAAAAGGATGAAAAACATATACTCGAATGATAAGGAGAGGACATCGATGGCTATATATGTGTGCGTGTTTATCGTTAATTATGGAGACCAAGGAGAAACCCTGTTGCCTCCTCTCTCGGTGGACACGATCGAGCTGTCTCTTTTCTTCCACGCAGAGGAAGAGTTGAAAGAAAAATCATCCACGTGCGTCCACCTGATTTGTTGGTGCTTCACAGCTAAGGGTATGTATAAGTATCTACAGCGACTCTTAGTTCGATTGGATCTATATACTACCGTAATCCCAAGCCGAGAATAGCCAAGTGTAGTCTGCCGCCTTGGTCTTTGCGCTCGGAGGCCAATGACTCAAGGAGCTTCTTCTCTCTGTGCCCACAATAATAGACAGTAGCAGACCGAGGGCTTGAATGGGTGCGAGAGACTCTGTGTGTTGCTCTGCGTGTCTCGTTAGCGTTAATTCACGAATCGGCGCGATTGACCGAGGAAAGAGTAACCACTCGTGAATACAATTACGTGGGAACTTGGCGAAAACTTTATTTATTGGGAAGTCCCTCGATGATCGTAACTGATGTACTTATAGATGAGAGCATTTGATGAATACGTATATATATAGATAATGGCGGAAAAGAAAAATTGATTGAGCCGTGCGAGTCACGTATAACTTTACGGGGTGTCGATAAATAAGCTGACCGTTAGCTCGAAAAGTCGTGTAATGCGGGCATTCGTACAGTTTGTATCGCTCGACGACGACGAGTTTTCACATGCTCTCACCCACTATATGGTATATTTCGATGCCCCATGGTTATGCAAGCACGATAAAGCGTAATATTTATATGTGTAATTGTGTGTTGTCCCTCGATGGTCACGCTTGTCTTATGTAAGTAACAGCTGAACTTGAGAAAACGCGGTACCTATATACATTTTTTATGTCAAGAGTTACATGAGCTTCGAAGAATCTAAATCAAAGTCCTCTAACGCTTTGCTGTTTGATTACAGATGAACAACGATTTAACGCATAAAAAAAAGAAAAAATCAC